AGGCAAGATTCTGGCACTTCAGTTTTTTTCTGATCAAGCTACCAATGTCAATTTCAGAAAGAAGCCGAAGACTTGCTCGAGAAACGCATCGACCAAGACCGCGTCATGCTCTGCGAGAATTCGTATTCCAAAATGGTGAGAGCCGCTTCTTCAAACAGCCACGGTCTTGTATTTTACTTTGCGATGCCGGCTAATTTTATACACTTTCAGGCAAACCCCAAAATGAATCGAAGGTTCCGATACTGTGGCCAGCGCGCTGACCTTCTCGACTACTCATTAAACCACACTCGATCGAGGGGCTGTCGACTGGCTACGGTACGGATTCCGCTCATGTTACATTTTTGTCCCCCCCCCGCTATTGCAAAAGAACCAACATCACATTTTTTTCTGAAAATTAAATTGGGAAAATTCTGTATAACGGATAATTACACCACTTTTAAGAACGCTACGGAGCCCGGTACTATCTGATGAACAACTCGTTGATGTTCACCTTGCCCCTCGTTGGCTTCCCCGCTCATCCGCGCCATCATCGGGATGGAGAAGGTCGGGCCGAACTAAAAAAAATCGAAAACTTCTTGGAAGTATCGCTCTTTAGTATTCAAAACATGGATTGGCCGGCAAGTAATCTTTTTAGCCATTCCAACGCGTCGAGCTCGGCATCTACGGCTCGCAGGACGAATTCGGGGAGCTGCCCAAGCTGAACGTGCCTATGATGCAGATCTGGTTCCCGGCTGGGGTCGAGCCGGAGCGTGGGTGCTTAATGTTGTTACAGAAAACAAAAAAGGATAGAGACTATTTTTACTATGCTGTCACACATTTTCGGTTAGTAAAAGCCATACAAATGTTAGAATGAAGGATTCTCGACGCAAAAAAGCTAAAAAAGCAGCAATTTTGGAAGCTTTGACCATTTTTCCGCGCTTTTCGCCCAAAAACCAAAATTTTCGAAAAACTGCACTCATTTTCATTCACCTCAAAATTTCGAGTAAAAACGCCGAACATTCCGAAATCTACGAAAATTTTAGGTCGTCCCGCACCCTAACGGCCGCCCCGCCATTATGTGGTCGAATGGGTTCAGGACGGTCCGCTGCAAGATGAGGTTTCCCAGGTGCTCGAGACGGATCAAACAGACCTGCCTGGAGATGATTGAGGCACGAGCTTAACTCCAACCCCCGCCCTCTTGTTTGCAGCAATGGATCGCCGGCGAGCGCGAGATCGACTCGATCGAGCTTCCCCGCGCCCGGTGAGCTTCTTCCTGGATGCGACTGGGATGCGCTGTGTCCAGGTTTGGACATTTTTTAATCTAACCGGGAACTCCAGAAATCTTGCGCACCGTCTCACGAATTAGCCGGAGGGTTCGTCTTGATGAGTTCCGGGGCAAACCGAACTTTTGCGCTGATCCGCCGCGGAGAAAATGTGGGGATTTTTCACGATATCCAAAATTTACCATAACCAGAGTCGCGACGGCCTGGCTGCCTGGTGGCTACCCAGCGGTGCTCGCTCGTGCTGGCCGGATGTGACTATTGGTTCCAAGGTATAGAACTGGAAAGAAGGGGAAAATGTGGCTTGGGCGCAGTTTACCAGCCCCCCAGCCGACGCCAGCCTATCGTAGCCTCGGCTGCCTGCTGATCTGCAGCTGTAAGGTATACCAAAATACTGGTCAAAGCAAGGTAACATTTTGGTATATTTTACACACCTGTAGATGAACAGGGAGCCGAGATACAAAAGCTGAGCGCCAGCTGGGGGGTTAAACTGAACTCTTACCGAAAACGGCTTTAAAATGAGTTTTTTCTAGGACCCGCGACCGCAGCCAGCAGCTCGGCTTCGTCCGCGCCGGACAGGCGATCACCGCGGCGATTGCAGCGATGGAGACGGAAGGACGATCGACGAGCGAGTGCCGGATTGAGGACATGGGCGACGGGCGGATTCAAGCCAAGATTCAGTGGACCCTGAAGCCTCTTCAACAGGCGAGTGTGGACTGGCTTGTGACCGGAGGAGAGGGGGGAGAACGAGAAAGAAAGCAAAAATAAAAATATATTTTTGGCTCTATAGGCGCGTCTCGAAATGAGGAGGCGAGACTCTCGACAGCAAGATTGAAGCCTCTCATCCGCAGCCACGTGAATGTGTCGCGGCGTGAACTGACCCTGGATATGGTAGCTTATTTTAAAGCTTAATTTGAAAGCGTTTACCGTCCTGGGCTCAAAAACTTTTTCAAAACCTCTGTTTTAGTACATCAACATGCACGAGTGCTCCTTGCCCCGCACGGGCCGCGTAGAGAAGGAGCTTGTGGGTGTATCTCTCTCTCTCTCTCTCTCTCTCCTCCTCTCCTCGCTCTCTTCGATCGCTCTCTCACTCTTTATCTCGTTAGCTTTATTTCGTATTATACTGCCTCTTTCAGCATAAACTTCACTGGGACCTCACTAGCCTCGAATACATCGACGCCTACCGTGCCCGAACCCAAATGCCCGAACTGAAAAAGAAGGCTAAGAAACCCTGCCAGCCTGCCGTTTAAGCCGCTCTTAAAACGCCACCAAAAACAACGACCTCTATTTCTTAACCATCGCCTTTCTTTAATTATTCATTTGCGTTATTTTTATGGTCTTTTTGAGTCTATTTTTGTGGAATAAACAGTTAAAAGGAATCTTGGTTTGGAAAAGTTGCGATACACCACTACGAGCCGTATGTTGCACACGGCTTTACAAACAGCATAACCTTGGCTTGTAGCACCTGTGAAAAGGTCTTGAGAGAGATGATTAACTACATACCCTGGCCATTTATATTTCTCTCTCTCTCTCTCTCTCTCTCTCTCTCTCTCCCCTCTATCTCTCCGTTTCGCTGCGCCTGTCTCGGCTTCTGGGCCATGACACGAGACCACCCACCACTGCCAGCCGCCTGTTACACAGTCTTTTCCATTGGCTTTCCCTTGTCTAACCCGCTAACCTGCGAGTTTTGGTGGCAACGTATTACAGTAAATGGCACCTTCGTGTCAGCAAATTTTTTCGCTCCTGTTCTCTCTCTCTCCCACTTTCTCTCTGCCTCTATTTCGCTTTCGCTCTTGCTATTCTCCTGGATTTTTAACCTTGCGAATATCGCTTGGTTAGCTTAGCCTTGTGACTTTTAAGCCTTTCAGATGTTCCTCACCTCCCCCTTGGCGTTAAACCAACCTCGGCTTCATTAAAAGCCGACAACCAGCAACTCATAGGACATCTAAAAAGTAAGGCACTTTCTAAGCCCGTCAATAATTATTTAGGAATTACAAGCTGAAACCGGCCAGCCAGCCCTATCATCAAAAAAAATTGAAACCAAAATAGCGCTGCCGATTTCCATCACGAGTGCAGTAAACTTCTTGGTAAATTTTTCATTGCGTAAAAACAATGGAGTAATGACTAGAATATCCGATTTCGATGAATTAAGCCGCGATCGAGAATCCCCGAGCACAAAAAAAGTTATATTGTTGGTTTTGGAATCATGATTTTGTTAGATTTACTGATGCTACACAATTTGCCAATTTTCCTATTTCTGGCAGCCCTCGAGCAGCCGTTTTATTTAGATTTTGATTCCATATCAAAAAAACACTAGTCGAAAAAAGTGTGGAGAAATTTTGAGAAAAAATGATTAAATTGATTGGATATCATGAAAACTCAGCAAAATTAGCGAACCTTTGAACAAACAATGACACTCTTTTGTTGCCGTTTTAAGAGCTTTGATGTTGTCGAAACTCGGGCATCAGGGTTTGAAAATCGGGGCCCCTCTGCGGCATCCGCTAATAAACTGATTTCAGAAATTCCGCGTCGAAACTACGTCCATCCAAACCACAATGAATTCCATTTATGGAAAATGTCGCTTGTTGTAACTAGCACTGCCAATTTCGATAACAAGCTACGAGACGTTATAGATACACCATCAGGAATACACAAATCAGGAATTACTTATATACTTTTCAACTACGAAACTAAGCTAAGGCGCGTTAAATATTAGCTAAAAATAGCGCTTTCCGAAAATTTGGTTTGCATGATGCGAGAATCTAGTAACAACCAATCATCTAATTTCCAACTTTGACAACAAGCTAAGGGGTGCCATGGATTAGCTAAGCATTCCAAAAATATAATTCTCATGGTGCGAACCCGGTCAAAAATATTCTTGGAATTTCCAACTTTGATAATAAGCTTCGGGACATTATAGATCATCTGAGCTTTACTATACTTGTAATTTTTTGTGTTGGTTTGATTTTCTTGGAATTACGATCCCAAATCCACCCAATTTGGAGACTGCGAACCATTCTAAGCGTCAGCAACGTAATCTAAAAATTGTAGTAAACTTCGAAAATCTAATAACCTGAGTCAAAGCTTGAAAAAGCGCGGGACTAGGCAAAAGGCAAACCCTAGATGCAACTCTGGAATTTTACAGGATCTTTTGTTGTGATATTTTCGGGTCTAGAATTGGTAAAAAAAGTCATCAATTCATCCATATCGTTGTGATTGCATTGTTGTGCTCCAAAATTGTGGAAAATATTTTGCAAGCTACAAGCAAAAAGTAAACACTTGTTTTGAAGGAATTCTGAAAAACTGGAAAACATTCAAAGACACACAAGCAAATAAAAAAACGCGACGCGACGCGACACGCAACGCACGCGATGGAAATTCCATAGCGTATCGAATGGTACTAGACTGTTAGCGGGAGGGGGGGCAAATTTTTCCTAGTAAACCCATACGGCCGACCAGAAATATAGAACATTTTTGTAGCACTTTACAGGGTTTTTAAATACAAAAACAAACCTAAAAAATTGCCTTTTGGAGTGTCATTAGTTTTGTCCGGACTGGAAGTTTCTTCACGTTCGGGTAGTGTAATGCCATAACCCTTTTTGAGAACTCCAAAAAATCTGCATTTCGCTCGCATTGCATCCAACAAAATTTCCATATGATGCAGCACGAATAATGTTTGGTTTGAGCCAAAATTCCCTTTATCCTGCCTCCCCTCCTTCAGTAGGGTGGCGCGCCCGGAACATGCTGTTCACCCTGCTCCGCTTCTTGTTGGCCCGGGTATGCAAAATATCCTAATTGCGTGCTGCGTACTAAAGCTCAAAGCGCGGTTTCAGACTTACTACCATCCTCCGGCCGACAGTGATGATGAGGATACGGGATCGGCTCCGGCGACTTCTGGATCGCCCTCCCGAACTTCCAGCTCAACATCGGATCTTCAAGTGGTGCGGGTTGAACTCGATAAAGCTGTCGAGCCCGTGCTTTAGAAGCCCGCCACAAAGATCAACACCAAAGAAGCAAAAACTCCAGCGCCTAAGAAGGTTCAATTTTCAAATTAGACGATAGCTACGTATCAGCGTGTCGGCACGGGCCTCCTCGTCTTCGACGAGTTCAAGGCGTTGCCCATCAAGCTGCAGCACATGCTCTTGGCCCGGCTGACCCCGCTGGAGTGGCTGGTTATCGCCAAACTTCACCCATACCTAAAGGTAGCAGATGAAAAGGAAGTTCTGGTGTGTTAGCGGGGGGCCTCGCTCATTAAAAGCCAAAAAAAAATGAAATACAAACGATTTATATGGGTTTGATCTCGTCATTCAGCATAGACAGAAAAATTTAGATTAAAAAAAATCAAAAAAATTTCATTATTATGTCGAAAATTTTTACTTTTTCGGTACTTTAGCATTATCGGGGAGGGGCGGAGTATCGAGAACAAATCAACCTCTTTTGGCCAAAATACAATTTCTCTAAGATAAATAGGGGAAACTCGTTTCCACTGTTTTTACTACTGCTTTTTACTAGCCCCCGTTTTTGTTTGTAAAAATGTGAAAAACCTCAAATTTTTCGAATCTTCAAATTTGCAAATTTGAAATTTAGACCCTCATTACCGCCATGCCAAAACGCTACTACATAGCCGCCGACGGAGCGCACGCCTTTCCCTGCCAAGGAATTGGGGAATATTTGCGAAAGTAACAGATTTGAACAAATTTTTTGCGTTAATTTTAATGAAATCAGAAACGTTTAAATTTTTTAGTGGGGTCGCCATCATTCGCAAGGGGGTTGATGGCACTCAGCAATACTACGAGACATGCTACGTTCGCCAGTCGTATGTGTTTGGAATTTTTGCCGTTGATGGCGCTTTAGGAAGCGCAACCAGCATAACGAAATGCAGTTGCTGAGGTTGGACCGAAAGCACGACCGGATGATGTACATCATCGAGGACAAGTGGTGGAGTAACGTGGGGTTTTATAGGTTTCTCTGACTGTATCACGCGTTTTTCTCCTCTCTCTCTCTCTCTCTCTCTCTCTCTCTCTCTCTCTCTCTCTCTCTCTCTCTCTCTCTCTCTCTCTCTTTCTTTTTTTCCCCCTTTTTTTTTTTTTTCTTTTTACTTTTTTTTCTTTCCCTCCTCTCTCCCTTTCTCTCTCCTTCTTTTTTCTCTCTCTCTCTCTCTCTCTCTCTCTCGCACATCTTGAACCCCACCTGCTCCAGGCTGAAAAGAAGCTCCAGCAACTACGTGAAGAACACAACACCCTCCTCTTCAGCAACGCCCATACCGATAGGGTCATCCTTTTACCGTAATACGCATATATCACCGATAAAACCCCCGCTAACGAACAAGAACCGTTTCCAGTTCCACCGCGGTCAGCAACCCGGGCCCTATCCCGGTCAGAGGGCCGACCGCTTCTGCGACTCGAGCTCAGCTACTCCCGAATCGTTCCGACGGGGAATGGGTGCGCTATCGCCAGTTTCAAAATAGTACTAGTTTTCCAGAACAATGTCAAGCCCACAGTTACTCGGCCAACATGGAGGTGCCCGCCCATCATAATTCGAGCCTGCAACTGATCCAGGCCATCGCGGAGTTCGAGAGGGTAGCTGAAGCTCTATTACTGTTTATCTCTCTCTCTCTTTGCTCTTTTTCTTTCTTTCTCCCTATCGCTATCTCCGCTCTCTCTCGCCGTCTGTCGTTCTCACCCTCACCCCACTCTCTTTCCCACCCCTCCCCCCTCTCCCTCCCCCCCCAATCCACGCTCATCCTCAAAAATTCCCTTCCCACTCTCCATCTCCCGCTCCCTCTCTCTCCCGCTCTCTCACTCTCTCTCCTCGCTTGCTAATCCCTTTAAAAACATTGCTTTATCCAGCCCCTCAAACGCCTCGACATCGCCATCGGCCACTCGGTAGACGAACTTCATGCCCTCTGCAACGTGACGGCCCCAGAGATGCACATCCGCTTCTTCCTGGTTTCCGACGAGGAGCGTGGGTTTCGAGCCCATCCAATTTCTTTTCGAGCCCCACTTTAGTCAACTACCACCGCATCAATTGTCTCCGCATTCCCGAGCAGTCCACCCCGCAATTTCTACGCGCAATGTGGCGCGCCATCGACGAGACTTGCGCGGAAATGATTTGGGTTCGACTTTCGCATTACTACACGACCATTAAAAACATAAAATTTTTGAGCAAGGCTAGTCGGGCTACCACGGTGTTTTTCAGCAATGGAAGATCGGGGAGCGCGAGATCGACTCGATCGACATTTGGCCGCGGGCCCCGTCGCTTCCCGATAGCGTTCAGCGTCTCAGAGGCACGAGCGGTTTGTCGCGTGGTAGCTTTTTCGCTGTATATTGGGCAAAAATGATGACATATTCAAATTCCGATATTCTGGAGCCGCCTGAGATTTTTACACTATGAAATTTCCATATCATGGAATTCCCAAATTATACAGTTTCGATAATAGTACCTTTCGAATTTTGGCACTATAATTTCGTCATTCTGATGGCCTCTGAGACGCACGTCATACTCTATCCGAACAATTTCAGAGCTGCAACAAATCGTTGCCCACTTGAAAGAGACGGACCCAAGTTCAACCATGTCCCAGCCGCGTCAGCTACTGATCAGGCGCAGTGACGCGGTGGGCCTTGCCTTTTTTCGGCATCTACCGCTCCCTACTCCAGAGTCGTGAGGCCCTGCTCATCACCGTCACCGAGCGCGGCTCGCTGTTGCTCGCCGGGTGTGACTATTGGTTCCGTCGGTGGGGAAATTTTTAGAGTGGGAATTTTTAGAATTGGGACCGTCGTCACGCTCCCGATTTTCAGCTCCCGCTCCCCGGCCGACCAACTGGCCTACATCAACGCGGGGCGGGCCGTCGGCAAGGCGTGGCGCGAGCTGGAGATGCAGCGCTCGTGGATTCGCGTCGTCCAGGATCTCAGCTCCGAGGGTCGGATGTATTCCAAGTGGCAATATCACACCAGCCCCAGCCAGCAGGTATTCTTTTTCGAGTCTTCTCTTCCGCTCCTCTCTCTCGCTCGCTCTCTCTCTCTCTCCGAAGTTTTCATCATTTTAGGCAAATGTCGACAAGAAACGCCATCTTCTGTGCTCTGAGATCCGCTCCTTCCTCGATCGCTACGACCAAATTTCGCGCCGTGAGCTGGCCATCGACATGGTAAGTGCAACCCTACCCTCCGACTGCTTCTTGTTTTCAGCTGGCTCACACCTCCAAGATCAGGGACGACCTGGAACTTGACGTGCTTGAAGTGGGTTTTACCAGACACTAGACGCTGCAAGATTACTAGATGAGCGTACTCCCCGGAATCGCGTTCCCAGATACCATTCATTATACGTTTTGCAGCTGAAACTTCACTGGTGCGTCCGCGCCCACTCCTACATTGACGCCTACCGCACTGGGCGCATCTACGAGAACCCGACGCCGGCGCCATGGGCGATAAATGATCCGCGCCGCCGAACGTAGAGGATAAGATGACTGATGACTTTCACTATCTCAATTCCACCATTTCCCGCTCTTCTTGTTCTTACCTCGACGTCGTGTTCTGTCCCCCCGTCGCAGTGATCCCATTTCGCGTATTGTAATGTAATGATTGTATGGTATTTTTGTGTACTGGGATGATGGTGGCTGTCGAATAAATATAGGGAATTTCAGAAGAGTGAGAGAAAGTGAGAGAAAGCGAAGAGAAAGAGAACGAGCTAAAAAAGATCCAAGAAGCGAGAGAGCGAGACCTCATAACGTTCATACGTGCATCGACAACGTTGCGAATGCAGATTCAAAAATTATTAGCTATATCTTTATCTATTCCTTTTTAATCGTTGCAAATTTTCAGCCGCATCTGCCGAAATTTGCAGTGATGAGATCAAAATTATGGCCTGACGGCCGCCAATGTTAAGTACCTGAAAATGCAATTTTTGAGGAGCCTGAAGTTTTACCTTGTGCTCAGCCGGGATCCACTTCAGCATCGCCCGATTGCTCATCTCGCAGCAATAAAATGGTAGGAACCCAAATTTTGCGTGGGTTTGATGGGCAAGTTTTGCGAAAAGAGCATCCCTGAAAATTGGAGCTGGCTGTTGACATCGTTGAATTCTTACCGTAATCGCTGCCCTCGATATTCAGGTAGTACATTGACACCGATAATCATGCCTTAAAGAACGGCAAAAAATGCTAATAAGAAATTTCAAACCGTCGTGGTTCATCATGGCAAAGCCGGCCAGGTTTCCTGAGCCGCTGCGAATCGCTACGCTAGCTAAGTGTTGTATTCTCGTTCTGAATTTTGCGAGTAGCTATGGAAAAGGCGAGATAGAGAGAGGCATAGAGAGGAGAGCGAGATGGAGCGAGAGACGGAGAGAGAGAGAGAGAGAGAGAGTGAGAGACCGAGTTAGAGAGAGGAAGCGAGACAGATAGACAAAAGCTTACACTTACCTGATAGCCTCTCTACTCCCTTCCAATCCGAAACTCCAACAACCAGTAACAATTTCCAGGTCCTCCTCTCCAATTTCGTCAAAAGTAAACCTGTGGAAAATTATACAATTTCGTTATCACCTACCCCGATGGTAGCTGATCAATCCCGGGTTCTGCCGGAGCTTTCGAATACGCAAAAATATTCACAGGCCTTGTGCTCTCACATGTGACACCGAATTTTGAGAGCACCGACAACGTTTCGGCAGTAAAATCCGGGTCTCCAAAAATCATGCCGTTGCCTATTTTGCACATATCAGCGATTCCTAGACAATCATCAATTTGCATAAAAAGCAAAAAAGGTTAAATTCCTTAGAATGCCTGACCGTTTCCTAGGGCCAAAGCTTGCAGTAAAAATCGTTGCACATCTTTCCTATCGACCGGCCCATTTGCTGCGGAGTAAATGTGGAAGCTAGAAAAATACAGATCTTTATTTATTTTTGGCCAAAACACGGTTTTGAAAATAAATTTAAAGCTTACAAAGTTCCGAACGGCTTCACGGCTAGCCAATACGTTGCTCCATTTGCCTGATAAGAATACAAACAAATAGATAATTCCGGAATCGCATCAGCTAAAAAGAGTTGAATCGAACAGTGGAATTGTTTTAGTCTAGTTGATAACTTTAGTTGAGCAAGGGCGGCTCCGATATCGGAAGTAGTAGCGTAATATTTGAACATTTCTAGATAGAGCGAGCAAAAACCAAAAAGGGCACTCACCAAAAGCGATCAATTTCGGACAGGCGGGCCAAAAATAGCGCACGGCTTATCAAGCGGAGGTGGGAAACTGATCGGAATTTACTGGAAAAAAATGATAGATGCGGAATTTGCCTGAAGTTTAAGATCGAACAATGCCTAAGCTTACAAGGGAAGGGCACGTGGACGAAGTGGAATTTCGGAAAACGCTCGCGGCCACCCCCGGGTAATCGACTATGGGGAACACGATGCTGTTGTCCGATTTTCCTGCGGTGGCCTGTGGACAGAGACACAGCACTTCCGGAAAATGCTGATTTACATGCGAAAAATTAGAATCCGGGGAAGCTTTATTAGGCTCGCCCATCAGTATGGAATCACCGGTTGAATGGCCAATTAGTAAGCAACTCGCTTGATAGGATGCTGACGAGGGTACGGACCCTCTCATGATTTTTTCTTTTTGCTTTTTGACTGGAAGTTTTGTGCAAGTCCAGAATTTCGGTGATGTGACTCCGACAAAAATTTTTTGAGCGATGAATACCATAGATTCAGCTATCCCACAAAAAATTGGAAATGAAAAAAATAATCACTAGAATGGGCAGCCATCCCCAATCAAGCGAAAATTTGATAAAATTTGTGAAAATATTTTGGAATTGGTTAATCTGCGATAACGTATTAATTAACAATTTGGAGTTATCGCGGTAAAAATAGCAATAAAAACGTGCAAAAACTTCCAGTCAAAAAGCAAAACGAAAAATCGTTGAGAGGGTCCGTACCCTCGTCAGCATCCTATCAAGCGAGTTGCTTACCAATTGGCCATTCAACCGGTGATTCCATACTGATGGGCGAGCCTAATAAAGCTTCCCCGGATTCTAATTTTTCGCATGTAAATCAGCATTTTCCGGAAGTGCTGTGTCTCTGTCCACAGGCCACCGCAGGAAAATCGGACAACAGCATCGTGTTCCCCATAGTCGATTACCCGGGGGTAGCCGCGAGCGTTTTCCGAAATTCCACTTCGTCCACGTGCCCTTCCCTTGTTAGGCTAACATATGCCTAATCAAAGCCTAGGTAAAGCCTGAGCCAAAAGCTAAGCCGAACTAGCCATCATCCAATTTCGACCGGAATAAGCTTTCAATCCGACCCGAACAGCTTTCAAGTCTTGTATCTGTTCATCTTGTATTTACTGCCCGATCAACTAGCAACAATTTACCCGATTCTGCGGTTCCCAAGCCAGTTGGAGTTCCTGAAAAAGTATAAATCAGCAACTCGAGCTTTGACCTCCTTGCATGTCCTCGATTCGGTTCTATTGGCTCAGCCGAAGCCTCGAGCTGCCCATTTCCGGTGCACAGGTCGCCCAACCCCAGGCCCGGTTTGCAAACCGAAAAACCAACTGGAAACACGTGTAAAAAGAGCAGAGTTTGGTCGGAAGCTGGCATATTTTTCAGGAATATTTTGGTCCATATTAGGCCAGCTTGTCAAGCGTAGGCGGCGGAGGGCTTGCTGGCCTCGTGTTTCCGGGTTTTGGCCCATATAAAAGGACATAGAAGGTCTTGCAAGTCGCATAAAATGCTGCAACAATGCGCGCATTTTATAAGCATTCATCAACTACCCTTAAAATCTATTAAAATAGCTAATTTTAGGGTAAAATGAATCGATTTCTGCTGATTTTTTTGCTCGGGCTGGCAGGACTAGCCCTTGCCAAATTTGGCAGACGCAGAATCGATTCGGATGGGATCCTGGATGAGGATGGAACGGACTGACTCTTTGACTCTTTCAAAACTAGGTCTGCAAATTGCAGTTAAACCTTACCTTTGTTTTTAGCGATTAATTTCCTCATTTTTAGGTTCAAGCGCAACTGCACCGATGGTACCGACGCCTGCAAGAAGCGCAAACGGAATTATGCCAAGAATCTGAAACGCCTGAAGCAGTTGAACGAGACGACGCATGGCGAGTGCGTTTTCAACTGTTTCGCACGATCGTCCGTTATTTTTAGCTATGAGGTGGAGGAGAACAAGTTTATGGACTGGTCGGATGACGAGCTGAAGCAGGTCGGTCAGTGAAACGGCTCGCAATGAGCCTTGTTTAAGATGGTGTTCCCGATTGAGCAGCTACCACCTCCGAAGGCTGAAAACATCGACCTCAGCGACCCGGCGGAGTACAGGAGCAAGAGGGTAGTTTTTTGCGGCAAGACGGATAGCGAGGACTAGATAGAGATAGAGAGAGACAGAGAGACAGAGAGGGCGCGAGAGAGTGAGAGCGAGAGTGAGAAAGAGAGAGAGAGCCGATTGCCAGGGCGTCGCGACAGCGTTTGATTGGCGCACCACTAATGCCGTAGGCGCTGTCCGGAACCAGGGCAGTTGCGGATCCTGCTGGGCTTTTGCGTACGTTTCCACTTATACATTTCCTCTAGTTTTTACGTTTAGCTTGTATACGTACGCATGATAAGCCGTTTTATCATTATCATTATTAGCATCCTTCCAGCACCTCGGCCGCAGTAGAGACCCAAATGAACTACAAAAACAATCGAACCGTGGCGATCCGCAGGGCTTATCCGGAACAGGCAAGTAAAATAAGACGCGGCTAAAACCAGGAATTTGTAGTACCTTGTTGACTGCGCCACAAATAACTACGGTTGTGGAGGAGGATAGCCATCCGCCGCCATGGAGTAATGTCTTTCACTAGATTTAACTCTGCATTCACTAGTCTTTTAAAAGCTATAAAATTTTGTTAAGGTACATCCGGGAGTACGGTACTCCCCGGGGTGCCGCTTATCCTTATGCTGGAAAGGTGACAAAGTGCAAAGCTGGCTTGGTAAGAGAGCGCCCTGAACTCAACAAAAACAGACGTTTAGACCCTGGAGAAGCCGATCTCATCCGTCACTGATCTCACCGGAAATGTTGCTGCCGCTATGAATTTTATTACTAACAATGGGCCGATCACGGCTTGTGAGTATTACCTTATATTTTTTGGTTTGCTAATTCCTGGCTAAAAAGTATCGGTACACATAGGATAACGGGGAAATAACGGGGGCACTCAAACTTTTTATATGATAAAAGTATTTTTAAATAAGCTTTTTTCCGGGCTGTAAAAAACTCTTAGTATATTTTTCGGTCCTCTATGGAATGGCATTTTGAAAATTTCGAAAATATTCAAAACGCCGAAAATTTTTCCCCCCCTGTTATCCTATGTGCTGCCCATGGTTTTCAAAAATAGTTTTTAGGCTATAAAACTTTTATAATACATTTTTTCGCGTTGTAAAAAAATCTATTAGTATATTTTTCGGTCCTCTATGGAATGGCATTTTCAAAATATCGAAAATCTCAAAAATTTGGCTTTCCCCCCAACCCCCCCGTTATCCTATGTGCTGCCCATGGATTTTGATCAATTTTTGTTTATTCGATAAAAAATTTCATTTACATTATTTTGGGCTGAAATTAATTTTCCTAGGGCAGTTTTCGACGCTTTATCTAATGGCACTCGCAAAATCCCTCAGTAATTGCAAATTTCATAATAATGAGTGCCCCCCCCCGTTATCCTATGTGTACCAAAGTATCAATGAAACGTTAGCATAGACTATTTTAGTGCAGGATGAAGCGTTTAAACTGCTAAATGAAAGTACCTCCTTTTCTTACGATACCTTTCAGGTCTCTTCGTCTGCAACGGCTTCTACTCGTACAAAAGCGGCATCTACACGACCGATTGCACCCCGAGCAGCCCTGGATTCTTGGGTGGTCATGCGGTCGCGATTATTGGATACGGTAGTCTGAAGTCCCAATTCCTCAATTAACTCTGCTGGTTGCCATCTCCGTTTCCTTTCAATCGTATCGGACCAATATTACCTTATTTTAGGCACCAACGCAGCTGGGATAAATTACTGGCTGGTGCGCAACTCGTGGGGAGCTGATTGGGGTCTTGGAGGATACTTTATGGTATGTCAATTTCTTAATGGACTTCTTGACTTTGGATGCATTAAAATATTAAGTAGATGAACAGCGTCCAAATCAAATCATTTGAGATCGAGCGCGGGGCCGACATTGCCGGTTTTGAAACCTGGGAGCTGATGGGACCAAACACCGTCTTGTTGCCTTGATGAAGTCGATGAAAAAGGATGGACCGAACCGATCGTTAATAAATAATTGTTTGTAATTATGCAATAATAATTTGTTGTCCGCACACGCGGACGCTATGCTACGTTAGGCACATAAAACGCACACCAGAGTGAGCCGAAGGTTGGGCCGGTGAAACCGAAACAACGAACCCAACTAGTGAACGTCTCTAAGGGTAAAACTTCATTTCAGGTCGGTCTATCTTGGCACAATTTTTGAGCTAACTACGATTCTTAAAATAATTAAATTAAGCTCGGAAAAGGTAATTTTGCGTTCGGAAAGTCTCGTTTGGTTTCCCGTTTGAGAAAAATAATTCTAAACCGAAATCCCTTTCGAAAAAAGTGCAGCTGTTCTAGGTTGCATGTCTACCGTAGTGATAAGAATTCAGATCAGGAGCCTGACAAAGAAGATAGGGCTTATTGTTGTCCAAAATCCGCTGCTGCACGACAGGGTGCCCGATAAAAAAAACACTCTCTCTAACTCGACGCCGAAGTATCGTATCGGAAAGATGGTTGCACCATTAGAAAGCCCTTGAAACCGCCAGTTTGCAACGAGCTTCAAAACCATGTTTTTATTTAAATGCAATGTTTTACGAGCCATTTTGTGAGGTTTTGTTGTTTTTCGGGGGGTTGCATACGAGTTAATTTGCCTCACTTTCTCCAAGATAAATGATCAGAAGTAGCCGTTAATTGGATGCAACGGCCGTTCCTTAATGTTTTTAAATGCGTTGTAAAATGGCCCGTGAAATAAAAACAGCGTTTTGAAGGTTGTTGCAAATTCGCCGGTCCAAGGCTTTTGAATGGCGTAACTATCATTCCGCTCCGATACTTCTGCGTCGAGTTAGAGGGGGGTATTTTTTTTATTGGGACGCTCGCTTAATACTGAAACTCGAGGAGAAGTTATCCCGTAAAATTAAAAAAAGCTTAAGCTCACAAGCTCACCCCATCAAGTACGCCGGGCGTACCGGAAGAAGCCCTGAACCGTGTGACCCTTCCGCCAGACAGGCCCCGGGCCAACAATCGACGGTCTATTGGCACAGATGGGCAATCCAAAAGTACGGCTGGCATCAATGGGACGGGCCCCAGGGAACACGATATGAACCGGAAAATGTGGAATGTAAAAAAATAATATATTAGGAACCAGAGTTGAAAAGCCGCTTCGCGACTTTTCAACCCTGGCCCCGTCCGACCCCTTAATATGCTTCACTCTGCATACGTATCTCGAATTCCGATGAGAAAATGAAAAATGACGCTCTCTACTCCTTTATATAGGCGACCGCCACTTCCGGTGTATGTTAATTTTTCCTAACAAAGTGGGGCGTCCTATTTTTCAACAAAAACTTAATTTTAATGTCAAAATAGAACAATTTGCACAATCTGATAAGCGTGCAGTCATCTTGGGGCCATTACGCACCTAAGGCCGTATCAAATATAGCTTAAGGCCCTTCCCCTCTTGAGTATAGTATGTAGTATCAACACAGTCTTCGGTCTTGAATTCGGGATCATTCGAGATCTTGAATTTTCTGAATTCTTTTTATAGATTTCAGGTTTTCAAGGCGATACGGTTGTAAATCATGTAATTCCGCACTCATAGAAAGCTGCTTAATCTCGCGCGTGATCACTGTAGGGGTACTGTAGCTGTAAAATCAACAATAATAATACGTTGGAAATACGCTAGAATAT